GTAGTCAGGAGTAAACTAATATAGTGTTTATATTTACTTTTAGATAATAACAGTTCATATTGGTTGACTGAATGATTAGTGTTAATGGCGTAAATGAAATCAACATGAAGTGTCAGTTAATCTATTTAGACAAACTGTTTCTCAGTGTGAGCTATTGAATAATGAATAGGAAATGTAATTTAATAATAAATGACACGGCAAGCCACTTATTATAAAACTCAAACAGTCTCACCATATTTGTAATTCAGTCAGTATAAGTGAAAATACATAATGGGGAGAAGCAGATGGCAAATTATCAAATCTGTTAGGAAAACATTATCGAAGGAGAAATATTAAACTGTTAAGTTGTCAAGTTATGATTGATTTCAAGGTATATTTCATGATTTGTTGGGTCCAAAATTTGTATATGAAAGTGACAATGGACCTACTGTGACACTCTGTTGCGAATTGGAAGGATTCAGAATTCACAGGTCATTTGATTTCAACCTGGTTACTAAAAAGGCCATAGGTTTAGTCCCGGGCGGTGTTATGAGTATACACTATTAAAACGTCTCGAATTAAGACTGTGCAGGTTTTCAGAGTCCCTTTGGTTTCAGTCATTCTTCTAGTGGTACCATTTTATCATTTGGGACTGTGCCTTTCTTTTGTCTTAATTTGAAAAATTGTTGTCCTACATAATTTTACATTTATTATTCTATCACTTTAAATAAAGTGTTATCTGACAGTTTAGGTCTTTTCCTATTAAGTATAGGATGCAGAGTACACGCTGACAGATTCGAGCCTTCACAACATCATCAGAAACCAGCCTAGAATCGTTCAAAAAATACAGGAACTTTAAAATACAGAGGTTTAAATTTACACGTTTGATCACGGATTGATATAATTTAGAAAACTATGGAAAATTAAGGAACCTCGCCAAATTACAAGCTTGCTAGTTTTCTAGCCGGTCCCAAGCCCGGATAAAGAGGGAGGGTTGGGGCGTGGTGCTAGCAACTCCACCCCTGTAAAACAACCAAATCGCTACAGAAACTTCAACGAATAAATATATTAAAAATTCTAAAAACATAAGCAATAGCCTTACTTTTCGCTGGAATCGGGGAAGTGAAATGACGCAGGCTGGTGAAAGCCTTCGGGAAGCCAGTCAGCCGATGTGCCTTCTTTCGATGAAAGCAAAAGTAAGGATGGGTACCTGGAATGTTCGTACAATGTACGAAACTGGAAAGGCTGCCCAGATAGCCGCTGAAATGAGAAGGTACAGAATAGAAGTGTTGGGAATCTGCGAAAGCAGATGGAACGGAACTGGAAGGTGCCAACTACCTACTGGAGAGACAGTAATCTTTCCGGCCACCCAGAGGACAACCATGAGCACACCGAGGGAGTGGCCATCATGATGTCACCAACAGCAACCAAAGCTCTCATGCAGTGGGAACCAATCTCCTCCAGGATAATGACAGCCAGGTTCAACTCAAAAGGAAGGAAAGTTACAGTCATTCAATGCTATGCGCCTACAAACGTCTCAGAACAAGAGAAGAAGGAGGCGTTCTACAGACAACTACAAGCAATAATGGACAACGTCCCAAATGGCGATATCAAAATCCTGATGGGCGACATGAATGCGAAGCTGGGAGGAGACAACACAGGAAGAGAACTCACCATGGGTCGTGAGGCCCTCGGTGAAATGAACGACAATGGTGAACTCTTCTCAGACTTCTGCGCCTTCAATGATTTGGTGATTGGTGGTAGTGTGTTCAAACACAAGGATATACACAAGACGACATGGATTTCACCAGATGGAAACACCAAGAATCAAATAGACTTCATCTCAATTTCAAGAAAGTGGAGACGGAGCCTACTGGACACAAGGTCAAGGAGAGGAGCAGATGTGGGTTCAGACCACTATCTAGTACAAGGGACTTTCAAGGTGAAACTAAAAGCCTCGAGGATAGCTGGGGATAGGCCACAATGCAAGTTCAACACTCAAACTGAAGGACACAACCACAAAAGACACTTCACTGCAACTGTCAGAGCAAAGCAGGAAACACTACGCGACATCACTGAAGAATCATGCGTGGAAGAACATTGGAAGTCTCTGAAGGCGATTCTCAACGAAACGTGTTCAACGGTTCTAGGAAGAAAGAAGAGACAAGACAAGGAATGGCTCTCAACGGACACTTGGAAATTAATAGAAGAGAGGAGAATGGTGAAAGAGAAAATGATTCAATGCAAGGACGGACAGGAGAAGGAGACGATGAGCTCAACTTACACAGCACTGGACAAAGAAGTGAAGAAGAGTGCTAGGAAGGACAAAAGACGATTCTACGACAACCTCGCCACTGAAGCTGAGAAGGCAGCAGGCAAAAGGGACCTGAGGACACTATATCAGATAACCAAATCTCTATCCGGGAAGAGACCAACACAAGCGAAACCTATAAAAGACAGCCAAGGGAACCCAATTACCAAGGAAGAAAAACAGATTAAACAATGGGCGGATCACTTCAAAGGACTCTTGAACCGACCATCACCTGCAACCCGTCCAGAAATACCAACAACAGCGCGCACACAACTGCAAGTTGACACCAATCTTGAATGCAATCAAGCTTCTGAAAGCTGGAAAAGCAGCCGGACCAGATGGAATACCCCCTGAAGCACTGAAAGCAGACCCAGAGACTACAGCAGACATGCTGACTCCATTATTGCAAAAGGTCTGGAAGGAGGGAAAGGTGCCTACTGACTGGAGGAAAGGTTACCTCGTGAAACTACCAAAGAAGGGCGACTTAGGACTCTGCAAGAACTGGCGAGGAATCATGCTCCTGTCGACGCCAAGTAAAATCCTGAGTCGCATCATCCTGGAGAGATTAAAGGACGCACTGGAGACAGAACTCCGACCAGAACAAGCTGGATTCAGGAAAGGCAAATCATGTACTGACCAAATTGCAACTCTACGCATCATCATCACAGAACAAAGCATGGAATGGCAATCAAACCTCTACCTCAACTTTATAGACTTTGAGAAGGCCTTCGACAGCGTTGACCGTGAAGTAATTTGGAAATTACTCGAGTACTACGGCGTACCCCAAATATTCATCAACCTTATTCAACAGCTGTACGACAACGGCACATGTCAAGTGATCCACAACGGAAAACTCAGCGAGGCGTTTGGAATAAACACAGGAGTCAGACAAGGGTGCTTATTATCATCACCAATGATATTCCTAATTGTGGTGGACTGACGGGATTATGCGTCAGACAGTGGGAAACGAGAAGACAGGGATATCCTGGACCGACGTGAAGAACCTAGAAGACCTGGATTTCGCGTGTGGATGATTTATGTTTGATGTCACACAAAATCGAAGACTTACAAGCGAAAACCGACAAACTGGTCGAAGAAGCAGACAGTCAAGAGAGGACTCCAGGTGAACATAGACAAGACGGAGGTTATGAAATTAACCAACCAACAACAACAGCAGCAACATCCAGCGCCAATCACCATCAACGGGAGGGATTTGAAAGAGGTTAGTGACTTCATTCATTCACTTATCTAGGGAGCATTGTCTCAACTACAGGCAGTCGGAACGGACGAGGATGTCAAATCGAGCGAGAATCGGGAAGGCTGGCGAGAAACACATTCATCAACCTGAAACAACCAATCTGGAAATCTTCGTCACTCAGCCAGCATCAACAACAAAATTCGTCGGATTTTCAATACAAACAACGTCAAGTCAGTCAGTTCTTCTATACGGATCAGAAACTTGGCGGGCGGGCGGGTCACAAAGAATGTTTCCAACAGCCTGTTGCAGACCAGACCTTTATCAACAACAACTGTCTTCGCTGGCTCTATACTGAAGATCAATCAGATGGCCGGGCCGGAACGAATCATCAACAAGAAACTATGGTTGGGAACAAACAAACAAATGAAGAACCAATCGCCAACCAACAAATGTGGAGGAGAAATTGGAGATAGATTGGACACTCGCTCGCTGAGGAGGCCACTGGGTGACATAACGCGCGCGTCAGGCCATTTGTCGAGTGGAACTAGGCTGAAAGGTGAACGGCGAGTGGGACGTCAGTGCAAGGGTGACATGAAGGAGATGGTGTGAAGAGGAGTTGGAAGAGTATGGACGAACATGTATGCAGATGGAAAGCGCAGCAGAAGGAAGATAGGAGCAGGTGGAGAGGTGGAGTTGAAGCCCTATGTTCCACTAGAAACCCAAGGGAGCAATAATAATTATAATGGAAAATGGAGGAGTACTGGACAGCTCTTTCGTCCTAGTTTGACGCTCATTGGCAGTTCGCTCCTACTGAGTCTTTAATCCAAGAAATTCAGGTTACACGGAAAGCTAGTCGACCATTTAGTCACTTGGAAATGACTCAGTGACCAGTTGATGAATCACAACTTCTACCAAGACGACCATGCACATGGTCCGAGGTTCGATTCCCTGCCGACGCACACCTGATATCTATGGTCGGCCTGCAAAACTTGGGCTACCGATATCACATGCTGAAAATTCCATAGTTGTACCGAAAATACAGTGTTGAATCAGCTGTAATCAAAAATGAAAAAATAAAAGTTTAGCGTGATCACCAGCCAGTTTCATTGGTGAGTACTTGTCCTTACTCCCGAGGTGATGTAACCCCTTGATCACGGCTTCTCCCTGGGACTTCAGGAAACTCCCTCCTGTAACAAGTCACTCCTTGTTAACTTAACTCACTCTAAACAGCATTACTACTTGTATACATTACATTTCACAATGTACTTAAATAGCAAAAGCTTGGTTTGTTCATCTTTGATTTCATTTATTTCCTTTATGTTCGATCTTTAAGTATGACGGAGGTATTTTTTCTACAACAGCAACCCATTATGATGTAATAAGAAGGAATTAATGCGATTTGTTTGAAATATCCAATCAGGTAATCTGACTTCTCTGATTGGCTGGAGAAGTCGAAAGTAAACAGTGACAAATTATTACATTTCCTTTTCCTGAGATATAAAATGAAATTGTAATCTAATTTCCTGTAATTATTGTGTAAAATGCAGGTTAAAATCCTAATTTATGTGATTAAAGACAACATATCCTCATAGATTTGGTTTTCACTACAATGAATGATGAAGCCTACCTGTTATTATTATTGACTGTCTAACTTGATTTTTAAGAAGGCAATACTCTATCTAATTTATATAATTACACATCATCGACAAAATGAAATCGGAATTATTAAAATCCCAGATTGTTGATCAGCCTAGTACGAATTCAAATCACTTATTACAAGGATATGAGAATTTGTGTTCTAGTGTACCAGGGTTAACATCAAGTGGATATTTAGAAGCAATGATAAAATATGTTAAATATTGCGTTGGCGGTGATCATACTGAAGAAATGTTACAAATTTTGACTATTGAATTAACTGAGCTAAATTCTCATAATCTACTTAGTCAAAGTGAATTGATTGTATTAATTTGTATATATACACTTATGATATTATTCGGTTCATGCGGTTCATTATTTGTTGTTTATATCGTGATTAAAAAGCCTAAAATGCGTACACCACGTAATCTGTTTATTGTCAATTTAGCTATAAGTGATTTAATCCTATGCTTATTTACACAACCTTTCAATTTATTACGTATATTATATTGGCATTTTGATTGGAAATTAGGACAGATTATGTGTAAAGCAGTAGCTGTGGGACAAGCAACAAATATATTTGTTTCTACAATCAGTATTATAGCTATTGCTTTAGATCGCCTACAAGTAAGTTGTTGGATATGTATTTATGATACAGTAAAAACAATTTTGAAAGAATGGATTGTTGAATATTTTTTCTAATATTTCAAATTTTTTGGTTTATTTTCATTTGAAAATCCACTGTTCATTTCAAACGAAAGAGATGTGGCACTAACAAAGGATTCACTGAACAGCTTTCGTGTTTGCTAGTTAAAACTACATTCAGGTAGGTAGTTACCTGGGGTTCTAGTGAGAAGTCGTGATTAGTAGGGTGCAGCAGGTTGGGTGTAAGGACAAATACTCGTCGAAGACATTGGCTAGGGGTCGCGCTATGTCGTGAATTGACTGAAGTTAGAATTCATGGGCTGACTATTGGACCGAGCCTCGGTGGCTTAATGGTATACGAGCTCACCTTGTAACCAGAAGGTCCTGGGTTTGAACTCCGGTGGGTGCGTACTGATGAAGAGTCCCAAACTAGAAGGAAACAGTTGTCCAGTGCTTCGAGGTTTTCCAATGGTTCTCTAAATGATGTTAGCTCATGATGAAATCCTGAAATCAATCAAATCCCTACAAACCAATACTTGAATATTAAACTTATATTGTTATTCGAAAGAATTTCGTGAACGACAGTCGTGTTCAACAAAACACTATTAAACCACTCTCTCCACCTTTTTGCTCAGTACTAGTGAACTTTAATTAAAAATAAAATGGAACAATTATTATCATTCTCCTGAGTTTTGAGAGGAATTTGGGCTTCAGTAGAACATCTTAATTTCATCCTGTTTGTTGCAGCACTCTTTAACTGGCTTAACGACTGCCCATAGGTTCTCATTTCCTCCTCACACTGCCCCCTTCATGTTACTCTCAGATCCCATTTATGTGCCACTTGACAACCTGACACACGGTGTTATTAAATCGCCTGATCCATCTCCGTTTCTTTCTGCATGTGTGTTGGACGATCAAAAAAGATATGTTATGCAACATCCTTTACAAGTTTATTTTATCACGAATATTTCACAGTCCTGACACTTTTTCCAGGTTAAACTGACTCAAGCATTTAATCAATAAACGAATAGTTCAAACAGGAAAACTGGTAGATGCTTTTATACCTCTTTCAGCCCCTTTTTCAGATTTATACTTTATATAAAAGGTTTTATTATATACTCCAGTTGCGACAGGTTAAAGCACAGTTAAGCTTTATCCATAGAGGTGAAAAAATGGCAGCTGTGATTAGTGGGCGAGTTATTACTGCGACTGTATCAACTGATACCTTAAAGTATGTCAAGGAGAGGAAAACGAGCTAGCACAAATGACTGCAGAAGAATAATTCACCTAGCACTTACTAGCTGAAGCAAAACTTGAAAAACTTTTTAAATTGATGTGCCTTAACGTATCTTCATGCATGTCATCTTTTACAAAATCTATGCATACTTTTTTCACTTAAACTTCAGTGATATCATAAAGCACCTCTTTTCGACTAGTTTTTATGTCATAGTTTATTAAAATCAAAATATAGGGTGAAATATTTACCGCAACCTTTTATCAAAATGTATGTTGTACCATCAAAAAAAAATATTGAACTTAATTTTATATACTCTCCTTTAAGGCTAATTTAACAGTTTGCTGGTATACATCACAATAGATACCAAAATATTTTAGATGAAATGTCAATGGTACGTTGAAATGTTTAACAGCAAATTTTCTTTTTTCAATTTTCATTTTAAGTAAATTCTTTTGGAAAAAGCAATTATAAAGTTAAATTTTTAAAAGATTTTCAAAAAAGTTCTTAAAATATAATAGTAAAATATAAAAGTAAATAATTAAATTGACAATTATCTGCGCTGATGACTGAAATATTCATCCTGGTCCACCCCGGTTATATATTCTACGCCGGAAGAATGCTGTGAATTAGTATTCAATGTGACAATAGAATAAATGAACATATTTATTTGTTTTGATATATTACCTCATATGATATTCAATTTGCAAAGCAAGGATTACTATTCAAGGTACAAAATGTCATATCAGATTGGCTAATTTTTGTTTCTCATCATTTCACTAAATTTATTATCACTATTATAAAATATACACCACATTTTGAACATAAGTACGAAAATATGCTGTTTCTAATAGATGAACAGTCAGTTATTTGAATAATACCTTCTTTATAATACGTTAATTGTACTTCTGTCTAAGCAGTTTCCCATTTGTCTACGACGCTACACCGTGTTCTGATGATATTGTTGTTCGAAGAGTTAGAGTTTTGAGAATAAGAACTTTTGAAATTAGATCACACGTAAATTTTGATAATGCTAACTTAGGAATTACCACATCGGTATGACAGTTTAATTTTAAAGTAAAGCATTAATTGGTTAAAGGATTTCACCATGAGCTGACTGACATCAGTTAGAGAATCATTAGAAAGCCTGCAGGGAGTACTGGATAGATGTTTCATCAACCTAGTTTGGGACTCTTCAGGAACACGCACCCATCACCAGGGTTTGAACCCAGGACCTTCTGGTCTCAAGGCGAGCTCGTAGACCATTCAGCCACTGAGACCTGATCCCTTGGCCAGTTCATGAATTCTAACTTCAGCCAATTTATGACACGGCGGTACCACTTCGTAATGTCTTCTTCGATGAGTTACTGCCTCACTTTCAACCTGCTGTACCCTACTGGTCACGGCTTACCACTAGAACCCGAGGTTAACTGCCTGAATAGGGCCAGTCTCTAGTGAGCATCAGATTAATTTTCAAGTATTGGTTTTGTAGGGATCTTGTATGACTGGTTTCAGGATTTCATCATGATCTGACATCAACCAGAAAACCATCAAACAAAATCCCTACAAAACCAATACTTAGAATATTAATCGTTCAACACGTCACCTTACAAGTAATAAGTCTCTTTACGTTTTGGTGTTACACTTCCTACTTTGACATACGATTACAGCCCTAGAATATTTAAAACCATTTCATCAGTGGACCCTCAGAAATCTACTGATTATTGTGAATATATACATTGACTCAAGTTTCGAAGTTGTGTGCTTAAAATTGATGTGATTACGAAAAATAAATTTTGTTCGAAATGTCATCCAGTAAATAATACTTTTTCACTGTGTGATACCTCTAATAAAAAAACTAGTAGGGAATTGCATTGACTGAAATTACGTGAAATTTTACTGTTTGACTGGGTTGAACCAGCTGATTTTCAAATGTTAGTCTGCAGCAGGCAGTTATAGTTTGTTGGTTTAAGTACTGGATTTACAGTCTATAGGTTTCCAGTTCGAGTCTTACCCTACTTATTTTAGCTTGGGAAACAGAGTATTGTGATCAGCCTTTACACAACAACCGTGTGACTAATAGCCTAGTACATGTGAAATCAGTTTCGGGTAAATAACATTCAACTAGCTGTTAGTTCGATGGGATTTGAATAATTTCAAATGTGATCTGTTAAATTGTCTAAAACCAGAATGAAGCACCTGTTATTATTCTCCCGTTTTTAGAGATTCACCCACTGATATCGGCTTGTGACCGACAAGATTTAAACATTTTTATTCATAAAGAAGGCAGCATCATGATTAACAGAAAAAAATATAAACTTTAGGGTGGTATATTGGTAATATAATTGATAAAGATTTTAGGTTTCACCTCACAAAGATAAGAAGTCTACCAAGAATATAATATTTTAGTTCATTTGATACATCTATCACAAAAGAGTTACCTGTGATTAACTTTTCCGCCCACAACCAACACTTCGCTATACTCTCGTTTCTCACCTTATATATATATAAGTATACGAAAAATAAGACTGAGTTGTATAAACTATTGTACTTATATTCAAAGAGTCAAAACTTATCTTTTAAATCACCTTTATTTTATTCCATTTTCTATTTTATTGAATATAGCTTTTTTGTTTCCTGTAAACTTTATTCATTCACCTACCATAGGTGTTTTCTTTTGTATCTTCCAAATTTGAAAACACACAAATAATAGACTTTTTTAAAGACATCTACACTTCTGTCGCTTTACTTGACCTATTTCCTAATAATGTGTATTTTGCAGGCAAATAGAAAGGTCTTTACCGATGATGTTAACTGAAATATTTCCTAAGTAAAAGTTATCTTTTTTTATTTCGTGATAAGGTTGGAAAAAAGGGAAGAAAAGGTTTGTATACTTAGAATTTATTTACTCCCATATTTATTGACACATATATATCTATTCTGAGTCCAACTATTTCTTATGAAGCGAACAGAGATTTTCGCTGGTTCATTTTAAAGGAAGGCTGTGTATGAAAAATATTCATGAAGAAATGCATTACACAGAGCTGTATAAAGCAATTATTTAGGGTAATTTTAAATGAAAGTTCATAGAATTATCCTAGATTTTTTAAATTTTGATTATGGCTTGAAACCACACAGTAGTTTTGGCACATGTATGGAATTTTCAGCATTTCATATCGGTAGCCCAAATTTTGCAGGCCAACCATAGATATCAGGTATGCATCGACAGGGGGTCGAACCCAGGACCATGTGCATGGTCGGCGAGAGTCCTAACCACTGTGCCACCGACGCACTTAAAGGGCTCATCGATTTTGAGTATTGTTTACTTGAATATATACTGACTTATGTTAAACATTATAAAATATCGTTTTAAGTCAATCAATTATGTAGCTTGTTTGCCTCAGTCAAATAAGTTTTTATGCGGAAACCAGCAGTAGGGATATTGTTTGTCGACCTGGCATACTCTTATAAAAGCTAGCAAGTTTGAAAATCTATTTAAAGTACTGAGATGAAACATGTAATACACGATTGGAACAATAAGGTATGCCTTCTACATAATACATACATGTTAATTTCAATTTCCGATGTAAACGGGATTTAAATAGAGCCTTTGGTTCCTATGACCCTTGCAAAATTGATGATAGTGATATGGAGACCAAGTTTGAAGTTAAGTATCTTGGATTAATTCTTTCTTCTGACCTATCCTGGTCTTGCCATGTCCTAGCGATTTCTAAAAGAATATTTCATC